TTAGCGGATCTCTCAAGGAGATCGCTACAGCACGGAGCAGCGTCAAGGGAGCTGGCAGTGGTTGGAGCGACTGCGATGTGGAGGCAGAGCCAATACTTGCTCAAGTCAGTCTTGACGCTGCGGACGACAGGATTTGCTGGGGCGGCATCACGCCGCCTGGCACATCTCGGCGCGGCGCCGAGGCACAGAGCCGCTGCGAGGCAGCGGCGGCAAGGCACGGCGGCGAAAGCACCATCGCCGGGCAGTCTCGGGGTGGCGTGGAGGGCCACTCGAGCTCTGCCGGCGGTGCGGCCGCCGCTCACGGACACGCGACGCGAGGAGGCATCGCCGAGGGCGTCGACGAGGCGCTCGACGAGGCGCGGCCGCGGGACGGGTCTTCTCGGAGCCGCGAAGGCGCCGCTGCAGGCGGCGGCGGCGAGAGCGGTTCAGAGGACGAGGGTTCAGAGGACGAGGGTTCAGAGGACGAGGGTTCAGAGGACGAGGGTTCAGATGAGTAAGTATGTAGTCAGACCAACGAATGTATGATGTAACATACTTGACCCCCCCCCCCCTTGGCGCCTTGTGATTTTCGTGGCAGAGCTGCGGATCTCAGCCCGCCGATCTCCGCTCGCGCCGGCCGCCCATGCGCTCGCGGGGCTTCCCGACGGGGCGGGCCTCGTGCTGATGGACCCAGCCGAGGTGCCCGACCAGTCGGATCCGCGCCGACGCGCTGCGCGCGACCACCAGCCAGCTTTCCGGCCGGGCCGAGAACGGTGTGTCGATAAAGCTGACACTCAAAGTAGCAGCCGCTTTTTTTGCCTCTTTTTGAGCGCTGCTGCTGCACACCCAGCCCACCAGTGATACGAGACGCACCAGATCCACCCCGTCGCGAGCTTGACCGCAACCCCGGTGACCGCCCATAGGTGGCTGATCGAAGCGCCACTCATCGCTGCTTTCGCGCGCCTGCTCCACAGAGGGCTCCTGCGGCTCTCCCTCGTCGCGTGACCGCCGCCGACATCATGTGCTCGGTCGTCCCCGCCGGCGCGGAGCTGCGCCACGTCGAATTCTTCGGTGGCTCGACCGCCGGCGCGCCCACCCTCGCCTCCTCGCCCGCCGCCGCGCCGCGCCGCCCCCCGGTGATTATTAATTCATTATTAATTAATTAATAAGTAATTATACCACCCGCCGCCGCCCCGCCCCGACCCGCGTCGCCCGCTGCCTCGCCGCGCCGCCGCCTCGCGCCGCCCGCCGACGCGGCGCGCCGCCGCCCGACAATATAT